TATTCTGATTGTTTGGGGGATGGTAAGTGGTGGTGGCCGCTGCTGCGATTGGATCTCTTCATTGCTTACCTTCTGTGTAGTCTGGGTGATCTTCGGAGTGAAGAGAACTAAACATGGTAGCTTTTCAGCAGTCTCCAGTGCCTGGAAAATAGTGAATGTCCATAAAATATAGGTAAGATTGCAAAGGTAGTAACCAAAGGTTGCTTGTATATGGGAATGCATCATGTGTTCTAATAAACTGTTTCATAGACTGTGTGTAAGAGAACTATGAACAAGAGACATATAAATGAAAATAATAGCAAAAGAAGTTGTAAAGCATGGGTTAAATCAGAGCCTATCACTATTTTGAAATAGTTTGGCTGGTATTTCATTTTCAATACTCAGTATTTCATGAATGAATCTGGGGTACAGTAACTGACACCCAGACTAAGGTCAATGTATTTTCTCTTTCAGATTTACCAAAAATCTGTCTCCTGACAAGATAAACCTGAGTACCCTAAAAGGAGAAGGTGAACTGAAAAACCTGGAACTGGATGAAGAGGTGCTGCAGAACATGTTGGATTTGCCGACCTGGCTTGCCATCAACAAAGTGTTTTGTAACAAAGCATCCATTAGGGTAAGACTCTGACACCTGTGCAAGACCTTTTTTGCTTCTGTTTTATCCCTAATTTCAAAATGAAGATTTTGTTTTCAGTGATTTTTTTTGTTAATATAATTTCGAAAAAAATACCTTTGTGTGATTATACAGATATGTGCCTTAGAACTTAATTAAGTTACATATTGTTAATTTGCTAATTTTACATTGTATTTAAATTTAAACCAAATAATTAATGAATCATTGACTAATAACAATAAGTAAAATTTCAGATAGTGCTTCTCATCAGATTCATTTTCAAATGGGACAGTGTGAATTTTGTCCTAAGTAAATGCTTTATTTCAGATGAAAAGATAAGAACTGATGGGGTGTTTCTGACTCTATACTTGATACTTTTTTTTTTTTTACTTTATACTCTTATTTGGATTTTTTCCCACCTTTATTTCTTGCTGAGGTTGAAAACTTTTTTAAAAAAATTTTTTGTTTCTTAAATTCCCTATTTTTCATTTACTTTAATGACTTCCGTTTCAATTGAGGGGGTGAATCAGAGCTGCTCAGAGCTGTTTGATCATTCTTTAACTTCCCGTGGTCTCTAAAGGCCTTTCTAGGGTTCTTATCTTATTTCTCTTCCTTCTTAATCTTAATTATTATAGCATATTATTCCTATTTATTTTTGTCCTTAATAACATGTTGATTTGTATTACTTCTTGCCTGTACAAACCAGGTTAATTTGAGGAGCTACTCAATAGAAACACAGCTTACTAATTTGTTTCATAGAATTAAAGTCTGGGCTCCAGAGAATAGAAAGATACCTCCAATTTCAAAGGTAAAATAAGTACCTGGAAGACAGTCACCTTTATCTTCCATAAACCCAATTATCTACAAAGCTACAAAGCCATGTGACATTTCTGGAGCAGGGTGTGTTTGAAGAGGACATGTTTGACCTTGCCTAGAGTTTACCTTCCTGGCCTCACTTTTGTATACTTCATACAAAAAGTGATCAGAGTTCTAGGACTAAACAAATTGTTAAATCAACAATTGTGTTCTTCTGGGAAGTCTTAGTTTAAATTATGGATTTAAAATTATTTAAAATATGGAGAGACAAGAATATTTAAAAGAATCTGCACATTTTTTTAAAGGTAGCTAAAGAAAACAACTAGTAATATTTTCCTATAAAACAAGTACATCTAGATTTCAAAACTGTAAATGAATTTCTTCCATGAGCTAAGGCTGCCTGCTCCCATAAATATTTATAATCTCAGGAACCCC